TTCTTGATCAAGTAGCTTTAGTCATTTTAAGTCAGAATTACTCAATTTTGTCTTTTTTTTGTACAGTGAAAACAAAATACATAGTAAAAAGTTATTAATCAGGACTGTTTCTATAACTTACAAAACTAAGTTAGTGTAACTTAAAATTACTAGTAAAAGACTAACTAACAAATTGAGTTTGTGTTACTTAAAAAGTTGAATGTGATCAGGTTCAACAATTGTTTTTAGTTAAATTAACTTATCTGGTTTTACAGTGTAGTATGGCTCTAGGAATGCCAATGTTGGTCAGTCCAATCTGTGGGTCCATCACTTCAACATCTTTAAGTGAAATATTTGCATTTATGTGGCACTTTACCTAAAAGTAGTACATTTACATGCCCACAGTGTCAGCTGTAGCTGCTATAAAAGCCAACTCACTGAAAACAATTTGGGTTTCAGGAAACTTAACATAAGGAACTGGGGATCAAACTGCCAACCCTGTTAATAATGGACAACATGCTTTACCATCTGAGTCACATTCACCAAAAAAGAATTATGATTTACTCTGATATTTGGTAGAGACATTTATGCTCCCCATAGGAAGAATCCTATAATGGATTTAGTGATGCCTTATCAACAGGTAATATTTCTTTCACTTACTAACTTTTTACTTACTTTACTGCAAGATATTTATACATCTAATGATCCCATTCTTACGATTGACATTTACTGAATAAAGTCACGTTCCCTAGAGGATGCATCATTTCAATTCTGTACGGCCAAATTCAGGAGAGACTGTCAGTGTTTAACACGTAATAGTTTCGATATCTGAAGGCTGATAGTGATCGTAAAATCATGCTCCCTGAAGGTACGAACGGTCAGGTAAATCTGGTACACTGGAATATCTGTCTCATCTTTATTGTGATCCTATCTTCATTCTTGGCAACATATTGTGATAGTAACATGACTGCAACCCCTCAGATAAAAACATTTTTTGGCATGGTAACCTTTCTTGTAGAACCCTCAGGACAATAAATAAATAAATAAAAACAATAGAGATGCCATGGGAATCTATAAAGACTTTCACATCCACCAGAGGATAAATACTTTTTGATTTAAGTAACAAGGCCTTTTCTCTGGCACCATCCTCAGACCAAACTTTACATTGTGTACATATGTGTCTAGACAAATTTCTGTTATTATTCAGTAGAATTTAAAACACTAAAGACAGCAGCATCTTAAGGGAGTTTTGTGTGTCTGAAATCCTGTTATTTCTGATATGAAAATTACCTTAGTATCTCACTTTAAGGTGAGACTATCACTTTTGTCTGCTTACAGTGGGTGAAGTGTCTGAGCAGTTACCAATAAGGAGACATGACTTGGATTGTGATAAAGTAAGATTATTATAAAATAAGATATGAAAGAAGACAACCTTCCACTGCTCTTGGGTCTGTTGTGATTGCACACTTTCATTATAATTTCTTATCTCTTGTAATCTAAAACTCTGGTTTCAAGATAACCAAAGCTTAATGTGCTCAGTACAATTACTTTGCAAACCATGATTAAAAGAACGAAACACAAACTGTGAGAATTTGCATTCTTATATTCAACCAGTGCTCTGTTCACATTTTCTGTGCAGAAACTTAAAGGCTGCTGCCCACGGATGAATGAATAGATACATTTAAAATTTGTATTAATCAAAATATCAATTTTTATTTATTTTAAGGAGTGGATGTTGTATAAAAGATATAGATTTTGCTGATGCGTCAAAAATTTTCTACTAGATATGTACTTTACCCTGACTTGTTTGTTACACAGAACCAACTGGGAAGTCGTTGTTAGAAACTATTTGGAAAAGTGGAGACACTTTTTTAAAAATACAGGTACGGGTAGCACAGGCAGGTGATTGGATGAACCATCTGTCTATCATCGTCTAGCAGAGGCAAACTTCAACCAATCAGATCAACGAAAGAGTCACTTCTCACACACGTCGTCACACACACGGTAAAAGTTTGGGTTTGGGTTTCTTGGTTGAGCTAGGTTGAAGAGGGTGGAAAAAGACGTCACTCAGAAACTCACAGCCACGCTGGTACTGGGGTTTCCACAACATTCGTCGTTTATTACTGACACAACCCTATCAAGCCCGGTTGTACGGCTACTATTTTATCGTACATGAACAGAAAGATCCCAGCAGGTGTACCGCTCAACTAACTTAAGACAGGTTAGGCGTTGTCTGATGTCTCTTGTATCGAGGCAACACAGCATCTTAAAAGCACATTTCGTAATTCCGACTGTTACAGAATGTAGTGTTAAATCACGCCTGTCATTCCTGAAAGGATGCTGATTGGTCTAAACCACTGTGGTTCGTACACAAGCGCATAGCGTGAAGCCTGGCAAGATGGATTCGTGTGTGATCTGGTGATTTTGTGCCCCCCAAAGTTAACATTAATTAGTAACATTTTGAAAACATGTTCCTAATAACAGGCAGCGATACGTTCCTTCAAGAACATATTTGATGTTGCAGATTAGTTGTATATAAATGTAATTTGTAGGAGACAAGGTTGAGATCAACTCAATAATTAAACCAATTGCCTTTCCTTCTCCCATGGATCACAAAAGATGAAGATGTTTTGTACCTCAATTCAATAGTTTTCAATAGTTTTGAACATTGATCTGGACAAAAAATTAGTCTCATCTGTTGGTTTTGCACAGTCAGAGTGAGACATAAATAAAAGTAAATGTAGTGCTCTCTCATTGACTCCGAACAGAGATCCAAAGCGTAAAAAACAATCAAGATTCTTTATTGTAGCATTTACCTTATCAGAACTGTGCTTCTTTTGTGTTTGCCAGAGAATACTGCATGTCCTGCATGGGGAGAAGCTGCCATTACTAGTGCATAAGACTGAAAAAGCCTCCACTCTCCTGTAGTGTATAGGTGTCGCAGTTACAACTCAATATCCATGTTTTACTTTGACAGGGCACTTTCAGACATTACTACATGATAAAGGCTGAAGCATTTCCAAACATATATTCTATACAAGAGCAAATGCATTACTGTAATAATAAAAGATGGCTAGAACTAAATGAAAATTTCTGGGGACCGTTTTGGCTCTGTATATATATGCACTTTTAGGGCAAAGGAAGCCACAAGGAAAGCCAGATTCAATTCAGAGTTTCTGACGAGGCAGTGGGTTGGAAAGCTTTATGTGGTGTGTTAAAATGATGCCTAGCCACTGGATTTGAGGGGAAAATCTCAATAATGTAATGGTTTAATCCCTTAATGTCGTAGCTCTATGACAAGCATACCGAACAGGCTCATTCTCCTCCAGTCCTTGTGCAAGTACATGTCCATGAATAAAAATGCAGCTCATTGGGCACTTATATTCCCTTTAGAAGTGGAGCGTGTAGTTCACCTACAGTGTTTTGTTTCCAGGGCAACTTTAACCTTTTTTTTCTTTTTTTTTTTCTTGTTACTTTTTGTTTCAAGACAATGTGCAATCAATTCTGAAGGACTCTTGGCTAATTTTATCAAGTGAAATTAATATTACCTGTGATGTATTATGTATTAAATCAATTCATAAAATGAGACATTCATGATCAAATATGACTCCATTAGTACTTGAGTTTGTGCTTGTTAATTTACAAGTTAACAGTCGAGACTTTTAGTTCAGGTTTTAGGAATGCGTTCTTTATTTCCAAAGTTATATGACAAAATGATCATCTATGGTTTGTTGTACTGATTTAAAATTGTAAATGTTAAAAGCTAAATATTGAACAAAATCAGCTCTTTCACAGTGTTTCATAGTTTTTATTCAACTGATTTATTATTTTCTGTGAGCAAAGGTGATGACTTATGTATTACAGTGATTTTAATCAGGCGATCAAGACTTGTATTTTATGTCTGAGTATTTAACCTTGTGCTGCGAAAGCTTTTATGTTAATCTGACATCATTCAACTCAGACTTGACGTGCCCTGTTATGGATTTGGTCTGACCTCATAATCAAAATAATTTTAATCTTAAAGTAAAAGTGATTCATTCAGAAATCAGAGACCAACATGTTAAATTGCCATCACATTTCTGTAACTATGGTGAATGTCTGAAAGGGGCCTATGATTTTTTTTTTATCATAAAGCCCAAACAGAAGAAATCATAGACTCAACCAGCAGATTTGAAATGGGTTTCACTCGCAGGGGTGCAAAATTCAGAATTCACATGGTGGTTGTGAAGTGGTTTGAGAAAGTTCCAGGGTTGCTTGACCTTCTAGCACTCACAGATTCATGAGGCAGCGCTATTGATTTAAACAGGTGTAAAGGCCCTTCTCCTGCCGAGGAAATTTAATCATGTCAGAGGGCCACTGGGTTATTGCACAAGACACTGTCACTGACGCCATAGGACACTTTCATGTCAAGGGGCTAGACAATATTAATTTTGCTTTCACCTTATATTCCACCGAGAAGCGGTGTGGAGATCCACAGCAGTTTCCGGAGAGAACACCACAAAAACTGGAGCACCCAAAACGAGGTTAATAAGAACATTTTTATTCTTGGAAAATATCTAAGTGCTCGAACGAGCGCTGCTCAGTATTCTGACTTAATATATTCAGGATCTGTGCTCATCCTCCTTGAGAAATCCAATGATAAGAGTTCTTTACTCTGTTGACTAAGCTAATTAAGTTTTTTTTTTTAAATACTCTACGTTTCATAATCAAAGCAACACTGTGATTAATTTCAATTAAACTTAAAGCATGCTTCCTCAAATTACCGTCATCTCAATCTAACTGCAAAATATCTCATATAATCAATACAATCAGCAGCAGTTTTGCTTCAAAGTCATTTAAGGTCTACAACTTGTTTTCAGTGTGTGTGTGTGTGTGTGTGGACTTTGCATAGGTGAGCATGCTCAGACTAATTTCAATCCCTTTTGTGAATGGCTGATTATCACAATCTGTTGCTTAAGTTCAGGGAACGCAGCAGCGCTAAGTCCTTCAGAGTGTGCGATAGACGAGGGGAAAGAGTCGGCATGGCCCAGAAAACGAACTGTAAGTTGATGTTCTGATTATGTTAATCTATTATACCTTTTTCAAGTAGTCAAGGTGATTGCGAACAACAGCACTAATAAGACAGCTAAGGGTGTAAATGAATGGCACTACTAACATGCTTAGATGACACATAACACATTTCAATGAAACTAAAGACCTTTTGATTGTTGCCTCAGGAATCTCACTGTGCTTTGATATATATCATTGGCACTTTTAAGACCGAATTGTATTGCATCTCAGAATGACTCTCACTCTTGATGTCTTAAAGCGAAACAATGCTATAATCATTTTATGTGTGATTTTCACCCCAGGTTGTCATACACAAATGGCAGATTTTATGAGTGCAATACAGTTAAATTACAAATGAAAAGGGTAAGATTCTGTAAGAGGTGTATTCATTCTTTTATTTGATTTTTTTCCACAAGTTACGTGAGCGTATTGAGCCTATTGTGAAATCCAGCAGGAATTTCATATTGCAACAACAGGCAGATTAGTCTCACTGAGCTCTCATTCTCTCCCTCCCTGCCTCTCGTTCTTTCTCTCCCTCTCCAACATACAGTTCAGTTCTCCATCAGAGAATATAGACCCTCTGATGAACATGTGGTCATGTCTCTCCTTCAAGATGGGATATTTGAACATGTATACCCGGCTTTCTTCAAAGCGATGAGCCATCCAGACCATGTTGGCGTTGCTCTGAGCATTTCAATGGCTGGTTATGTGCTGGGAGGCAGCTCCTACTTCCAAGCTTTACTCTTTGGCAGCGCATGGGCTGGCCTCATTTATTACTGCTGCCACGAGATCTACGAAGGCTACATGACGAGGAGGCTGAGTGCAGACATGGCTGACATTCAAGCCAACTACCTGGAAAACCCAGATAACGGTTTCTGGGTGGCAGAGGCAGATGTCAACGGCCACTCCAAGGTGGTGGGGATGGTGGCAGTGATGGGGAAAAGTGGAGGGGAGGAAGGCGAGAGGTTTGATGACTGCAACGGAGGTGTGATGGGAGGGGCCTCAGAGTTTTCCCAAGATGCCGGAGATGGGTGTTATGGCGAGATGTCCCACATGGTTGTGGCGTTTCCATTTCGCCGCAAAAACCTGGGTTCACAGCTGATGAGGAAGGCCCTTGATTTCTGCAAAGAGCGAGGACACGCCCACCTCGTCGTGGACGTCAGCTCGCCGCAGGCAGCAGCCATCTCCCTGTATGAAAAATTTGGTTTTGTCCAAACTGGGTCCAACAGTAACACGCACACTAATCGCTGGTTCTCCAGACTGGCCAGAATAAATGTGTTGCGAATGGAGAAGTTCATTTAATGCAAAATGGACTTTAGACCTCATCACCTGATACAACCTCAACTGTACAGCACATTAAGAGTATTTCAGTTAATTTATGCTTCCTGTTACATTTAATGCAGAAATCTTTCTGGTTGTGTGATATTTAGTCACTCATGTCTCCAGTGCGCAATCATGGTAGTCTGAAAAAAAAAAGCATTAAATTTCATGTTTTTTCCACAAAGCAGCATTAATGATCTCGGTTTCCTTGTATTTCTTCTTGCCTTGATGTATTATGTATACACCTGCACCCCTGACAGTCTCTTGCCCACAACCATGAAAAACAATGAGACAACTGGTCAGCCTCTCTGGTTAATCAAATTAATTTATCATTTGCATATTGGAAGAACAATAAATCTCAATAAGACAATTTTGCTAAATGAATTATTGGATGTTAAACAGAACAAAATATACTTACATTCAATTATCTATTGTTCTCCTGTCCACTAAGGAATATGAAAATATATGTGAGAAAGGAGAAATTTAGTCATTTGGAAGCAGGAGAACTTTCTTTTAAGCCTCTTTCCAGGGAGAAGTTGAATCCCTCTGCCTCAGAGGAATTAATGCCAGCTGACTTCTAAGACCTCACAACTCTTTGCTTAAAATACCAATGAAAAATGCAATAGTATCAGGACATTGGGAGGTTTAAAATTCTTTGGAGCTAAAGGAGCCGTGTGTGTGTGTGTATGTGTGTGGCATAAAAAGAGGATAAAGAGTTCAGTATACTGCAATGCATTCAGGTCATCATACACAAGGCAAATACTCAGATTATCGACACCAAACAATAGAGGAAAAGCTTAAGTGTTTCCTTATCGGTGGTCTTATGACATGAGGAACTGGACACAGTAGAGGTGAAAGAGCCACGAGAACTAGTCTGAAAGTAAAAGATAGTCGGCCACTATTTCTGAAACAGTGTAAACAAGGAACTTCCTGTCAATAACACTCCCCGATGATGATGCCAGCAGGATATTTTCTTAATAAACCTGTTATCAGCCACAAGCATTGTGCAGCATCACCTAAACAATGTAGGTTTACACATTTCTTTAACCTACAATGCCCCTAAAATCCCCAGAAGGTGATTACAATTTCCAAAATATTATCAGCACCACACAGTACCTGCTTATCTCTGAAGAGTGTGTGTCCACAGTAAGCCTATAAGGGACTTCAAGCAACCAATGTGTGCAGTGACAGGTGTGGCCTAAATGAGTTTCAAGAGGGAGCACTGTATGGATAGAGCAGCCTGGCACTGAGACACACACACCGTCAGAGGCCTTCGGGCATCAATCATTCCTGCTGATGCTGTCAGAAGAAAATTAGGCCGGTGGCCAGCAGGCAGGTGCTGAACTAGCCAGAGGAAGATGAGCCTTAATGTTGGCCAACCTGTTGTCATCCTCTCACAATTACCAGTACAACTGGCCTCAAGGTAATGACAGCTTGATTGTAATTCCTCTCATACACACACTCCACAGATGAGTCTGTTGCCTTTTTGGGGGTCTCAGAATTGTTGTGTGTAAGTAGTAAAATTATTCATGTTTTACTCTCTCACAACATTAAATCAAAGTAGCTTTAATGTGGCTTTTTTTTTTACTCTGATCAAGAAAATAAGATCCTTCCTGTCAGTGTGTAAGCAAATCTCTACAAAGTGATACAAATTTAAAATACCACATGCACGTTGTGGCTAAATATTCAAACCTTCCGAGTCAGTTTTAGGCGACTTTCTGCACCGTTGGCAGCAAATACAGCACATCTGGGCACTGCAATTTTTACCTATTATTCTCTACAAAACCGCTCAAGCTCTGACAGGTTGCATTGGTATAGTGAGTGAACAACATTTTGCAAACCCAGCCACAAAATCTCAACTGGATTGAGATCCGACTCGGTTATTCCAGAACATAAACATTGTTGTTTTTAAGCCATTCCTGTTTAGGTTTGGCTTTAAAATCTTTCACTTTCCGGATACAGGTGACATATTTATACACAGTCATTTGAAACCCCTCAACTACACAGAGGTGATATCCATTTATTTAATCATGTGACTAAAACCAAAAGGCTGCATCAGTGATGATTCAGGTGTGTCTTATTAAAAGGCATGAAAACTTGTAAATGCTGATTAACATGCATTCTGTGTAATATATTCAGATCTTTGAGAAGGGTCTTTTCCTGTTGATCATTGTCAAACAAATCTATTTTAAATATATTTTGATTCAAACAATAAAACACAAAAACATTCATGCTGAGAGAACTATAGTGTGAAATTCCATTTTGCATTGGTGCATGCATGCAACAGCTGAGAGATAATTGGATTTATTAGCTTAATGACAGACTAAATGAGTCTGACTTTAGAGAAAAACTTCTCAGGTTTGTTGTCCAACTTAACAAAAAATACTTTTAGTTTTGTTTTGTTTGTGTCATTCTTTTCTTTTCTACGGGGAAGGTATACATAACAAAACTTGAAGGGACTTTGGTCCATCTGTCATTATTGGATTAGAGGTCTTCCCAATTTGAGATAACATACGGGATCAATGAAATAGGCAAGACCCTCTTCAATAAAGGAGCTCAACAAATGCAATTGGAAAACATCTCTTTGTCCACACTTTTAGGGTGGGATGGTGTGTGTGTGTGCGCGCTTGTCTGTGGTTAGGGATTATCTTGAGCATTCCTGCGTGCATTCCCACCATAAGGTATTTCTTGTGGTGTCTTATTAATCTGACTCGGATCAAGATCGAAGCCATCTGGCTCACTGTTGGAAAAGAGTGAATATATCTCAAGGCAAACTTTGATGACACTTTCAAAATAACAACAAAGCAAGTAATCAACATTACAAACAGCACCTGTGTGTGTACAAGCCTGTCTCTTTTTTCTGTATTAGCACTCTTATTGAATTGGTGAAGATTATGGAGATTAATTGCATCAGGATACCAGTCGCCTATGTGTTGCTGTCAGAGAGCCAGAGGTAGATTTGTTTGGATCATACATCATCATACGCTATTCACCACTGCCTTGCATAATCACTTTTCATCTTCTTTGTTGCACCACAGGAAGTAACTTTTTTGGCCGTGCCGCTGAACTTAACTACAGAAAACAACACCTGGGCAATTACTTTAGATATTAAATCACAAGTAACAAAGGCATGTCACGCACTTACAGAAGATAGCTTATCCTGCACCATCAATTCGCTGCATTTTAGGAACCTGACATTATGCACAATCTGCACTTCCTTTTACTGAATAATTGGTCAATTATTCGCTGCATGGTTCAAGAATGATAAATATGTTTTTCTATAAGAGCAGAATATTAGAACACAGTGAGAGACTAACAGGTAAAATATGAGAAACTGGGGAGATGTGCTAACTGGATCCCTGAAATTATAGCGTATAGTCCAACACTGGAACATGTATGAAAGCACTGTTAGTGTCTCATTACCATTCAAGATTGGAAGTCAAATTATTAGGATAAATGTGGGATTAGATGTTGCTAATGAGTTGGTATTAAATATGTTTACACCACAGTGAACCTCTTCGTCGTAGATAAATGTTCCAGACAATATTAGGCAGTGGCTCGTTTGCTGAGCTCCAGCGCCAGTGCAAGAGGACTATGGGGATTTGGTCAAGGAAGTAATTGGACACAACAACAACCGAAAAATTGATCACAGCTGTTGCAATTAGGAGAAATATGGGACAATCAATTTTTTCATGTTTCAGGCTCGATGCTGAGTTACCCACAATAACTGCATTCCAATATACAAGATAGTGAAGTGTGATAATTACAGTGGGATTCTCCTATACTGTGCTTAAAATAATTTGGGCAATATTTCAGGATAATGAACCAAGAGACTCAGATCTCAATCACAGTAAGAGTTTTGCGTATTGCAGATAAGAATAACTGTACAACTGGAATGCTGCTTTTAAATAGAGTATATTTAAGGGACTGTATGAAAGTTTTTGTAGAGGGGAGGGGGGTTGAATCTGCCCATTTTGTTAATGATTAATTAATTAATGAATATTAAAATATTTGCTATATCCAGACAGTAGTACATGAGACAGATTAAAAAAAGGTTCCCTGGCTCCTCCTAGTGCTCCTAATGGCATTTGCAAGAATCCACTGCATTGAGTTTCATTCCCAGGTCATCAATTACAGATGCTTTGGGTCCCTGGGAATGAGACTCAACAATCAACTATCTTTCTCGGCTCTTCTGATTGGTTGTTTTCATTCTGACGCGTTGAATTCTTGCAAATGCCATTAGGGGCACTAGGATGACGTTGTTAAAATAAAGGTGGGAGCAGGGGAGGAGCCAGACATTGTAAAATCCGGGGCTTGGCACAAACCTAGGGGTGTCAGAGATTTTTTTTTATATATATACATTTATCGCGGCTATATGCACTATTTTATAAGCCAGTTGAGGTAACAGAATGTCTCAAATGTATACATCGTTTGGGAAAAACAATGAGAGTTTAGCCTACATCATATTTTGTATCTAATCGTTCCCCAACTGTCTTCATCATTCTGAAACCATAACACAGCAAATGTTGAGGATGATTACATTTTCACTCCTACCCCATAAAACAAGGTCTGATATTATTTTTAAGATACATAAGAAAGGTAGCATAGGGTTTTGTGTAAACAGCATTATTAAGCTTAAAACCTTTTTTTGTATAACTATGTTGGACTACAGTTCACAGAATGAATGTTTAGCTGCTATGTGAATCCAGATAATACTGTAATAGCTGACAATATTTCCCCAGTAACAAAGGTTTTGCTTCATTCATTGGTCGGTCCAGTCAGAGAGACTGAGGGGAAGTTACCCCTAGTTGAAGTTATTTGAAAAGCCTAAAAGATTCAGGAGCTCCAGACGCCCCAGATGCCCCAGACACCGCCCTTGGGTGTCAGCTGCTGTTGGCTAGTGAAAATTATAAAATCCATAAAGACTTTTTTTTAGCAGTAAACCTCACAAGGAAAGGCTGAAATAAAATATAAATCCCGTCCACCACCTCACCTCCTAGTAATTTTCATACACTCCCTAACTAGCAAGATTTGACAAGCATAAGTCATGATCCAATATATTTTGGAAATCATTAATTTCTAATGATATACAGCACAATTTCATCATA